CTGTTCGAAGCGCGAACTCCTGTAGACCAAACCCAGTACCATTACGATTTTTAATCGTGCGGGAAATCCACTCAAGATAAAATCAAACAAACATAAAGTCACTGTTAATGCAAATTGTCAGTCAGCAACGAACAATTACTGGTAACTAGTACACAGACCTATGGTAAAAATCTCGGAGGCATTCCGAGATTTTACATTTTTTGCTAATTGTACCAAAAATGGCTGAGCGGTTAAGGCAGGGGCACCGTGATCATAGCCAACAATATCGGCACAGGTTTGCAGCCGGCTCGCTCCTATAGTTCTGGTGGTAGAACAAGTCTTCTCGGATAAAGACTATAAACCATAGACCCAGTGTACACAAATGCTCATGTGCACTTTAAAGAACCCAGTACATCTTTCAAGATGAGTAGGGGGTTACCCCGGTGTACTGTTCACTCGGCCCCTGTCGTGGACAGATGAAAGTGCGCCAGTTTACTGGCTGCGGTGGACATGAAGTGACCCTCGGAGAGGAGAAAGTTATTGAAAAGTGCAATATTTAGTCCCGAGCGCATAGAGACCTCGTTTATCTGCGCTATATAAATCCATCTATTATTATTATTATTATTATTAAATTGATGGTTTTGGAGAAAATAATTCACAAGGCAGGAATGCTTAAAGCTCGATTAATAACACCGATTTAAAAATTTTTTATGGTTTTAAAAATAAACAGAAGGCTTAATTAATTGAGTCTTATCCAATGTTCTTGCCAGAGCCTAATTTTTGATGCCTCACAAATAGGCTTCAAATGTTATGTCAATAAATTATATATTGATATCATATTTTGTGGGTATAGTTATGTTTAATTAGTCGTAATTCAATTTGTGTGTAAAGAAAGTATTATTCAGAGTGAGATTGAGAGGAGATGTGTCAAAACATTTGTTTCCTATTTTAAACAGTGACAAATTGTGAGCAAAATAATTCATGTGATTAGATTTCTATAATTCAAACAAAATATCTTAAATAAGATAAAGACAGTTTTATAGTTAATAGTTTAGGCCTGTAGCATCATATGAATTGTATGTAACACATCCAAAAAATCTGTAAGAAATAGGACTACTTACAGTACATGGTCCCAAAATGTGTCAGAGCATGGATCTATTTTTAATGCCATTGTCTCTTTTAAAATAGATTGGAGTGGTAGGAGCAGTGTGGTTTACTTATTAACTCCTACAATAAATTTTTTTATTTGATTTTTTAAATTTAAAAATTTAAAAAAAATATATTTTTTTATAAATTTCATTTCACTTCATTATTTATTTGGTCATTTACAACAACAACAAAAAAAAGCTGAAATTAATTGTTTTTTTTTTTTTATTTTGATTTATTTATTTTTTTTATTTGCTTATTCAGTCGTCAATTGTTACCTACCCACCTCTCCCCCGCTCATCAGCATTTTGAAGTGTAATATAGTGTAATAGACAGTGTGGAATGATTTAGCAGAATTTTTTGCTTCCCCCTAGCAGAATGTCATTTTTGCGCTGGTCACACACTGCCTAAAATTGTAATGTAAATAAAGAGGGGAATACATGTTTTGAAGGGCTGGTTCGCAAAAAAATATCCCAGTGATACCACCGTTATAATGAATTGTTTGATGCTTTCAAATTCGCTAGACAGCCTGTCTCTTATACACATCTAGATGTGTATAAGAGACAGGTATTCTTTAAAGCGTATAGTGAACAATCTTTTAATTATGCTATTATTTTTTCTTATTTATATTTGTGCTTTACGTCACATAGATGGTGTAATTACAGTCACTATGGCACCACAAAAAATGTGTGTTCTAGAAAAAGATTTTAATGTTGATTTCAATTGCACCATTCAACCACCTAGCGCGGATAATGCTGAACACAAGATGAAATGGTTTTTTCAAAGTGAACTAATTCATTTTGATGACGAAACAGTTCTAGATAGCGGTGTAACAATAAAAAAATACAAAGAACTGAACAATAAACTAAGCATAAGGAATATCGAACGTCGAGACGAAGGCCATTACAAATGTCAAGTTGAAAAGACAGCTGTCGAAGACATTGGTGAGCTGACAGTGGGTAATTGTCTAGACGAAAACCCCTTCGTAAGATGTGACATGACTCTTTCCAACTCAACGTCACGTACAGATCGTAACAACATAACGATGTTTGCCGGACACATTCTTCATGTAAATATATCTTGCAAGGCTTTTATTGGCAACAATGTTTTAGTCAACATTACAATAATAAATGTTGCTAACCATAGCACTGCACCAGCACTTCCTGTCTATTATCACGTTGAAGAACAGTCCAGTGCTACACGCGGAGTGTATGTAAGTCACGCAGTAGACGTCGCAGGTTTAGATGGACGGCAATTCTGGTGCGTGGCAGATCATCCAAAGATGTCACATCCGGTCAACTGCTCTACTCCTTCATTGATGTCGCCTAAAGTAAAGATTAATGGAAGTGCCGACAACACGCAGTTCGAATGTAAAGTGGAATCTTATCCCCCGTTTACATCATACCAGTGGAAACTTTGCCGTTACCCAGAAAAGGAAACGAATGTTCAAAAAGAAGAATGTGAGATATTGAACATCACAAGCAGTAATTTGAATTGGACAAACAATGGTGGAATGAAAGAATGGTTTGTATTGATATGTGAGGTTGAAAATGCTGTTGGAATAGGACATGGTGAACTGACAATTATTCTTAATAGGGAAACTAGAAAGAAAACAGGAAATAGCAATTCCATCTTGGTAAAATTGTACATTGGTGTTGCCTCCTGTCTCTTATACACATCTAGATGTGTATAAGAGACAGGTATGTACTAGTCTTTAATAACAAAATACCAATGCAATTACGTTTCATTATAATTATTGTTGTTTTAATACTGTTGCTTTTGTTTCTGTTCTTGTTGCTGTATTTGTCGCTATCAATTGTTGTTGTCGTTGTCGTTGCTGTTCTTATATGCTTTAATTTTTCATTAAACTTATAGGATAAAATGCGCCCTCTCACTTTTGAAAGTTGGTGGCGGCAGCAACAAGACAAGCGATTGATAAAAAGTGATCAGTAGTGATAATAAAACCAACATAGTCACATGCAAAAATACTGTACAGGCCTACATTAGTAAGCAATTATGAAACAACGTTATTTGCGACCTGTTAACTGAGCCGCTAGATCTATCAGGTAGTAAGGTAGGCTTATGTATTTTTTCTGTTGTGTTCGATATCAGAGTATAAAGATTTAAAAAAATGCAAGAACCTTGTCTAGAACATGACTATCTCTTTATTCACTTTTGCAATAAAAACAATTTCAAAATATAACATGTCAATTTAATACCTTGATAAAAAATTGTTTGCTCTAAAACTCTGTAGTCATTGTGTACGGTACACTCGTAAATATCAAACATTGAATATAAATTACAATGGCAATCGTTGATGGTAACAATAAACGTTTTAATACAAAATAATATGACTCCATATTTGTTATTGATTGTATTTTCATTGCCTTTTTCCTTGTAGGAAACACAGGTGGAGTGAATTCACAAAGCCAGAATTTAAACAGAAAACGTGAAGATTAAATAATCATTATACATTGGCAGAAAAAAAAGCAGGAGTATTCTTTAAAGCGTATAGTGAACAATCTGTTAACCAGTTGACCTTTCGGTTTCTACAATAACAAACATCGAAAAGAATGCCATGGCCTAAAGTAAGCAACAATGCAAACAAATACTGAAAAAATTAAACAATTAGCTTGGAATTCTAAATTATTTATAAGTTAGGACAAAGCTTTAGTTATGTAAATTACATCATTAATTACCATTACATTTAATTTTATTATAATTTTAAAATACTTCATTATTTAAGAATTAAAAAATATACCGGTAAATATTCAGATATACAAGTTCAATGGTTACAAATATAGAATATATATATATATAAATATACCCTTAGGAAAATGCCACACAGTGAACACAGTGTGAAAAACTATGTGTTCATACAGAAAACACATAGTATGTCACTGTGTGTTCACTCTGTGGAGACACAGTGTTCCACTGTGTGTTCACTCTTGTACACACTGTGGCATTTTCCTAAGGGTAAATATATATATATATATATATATATATATATATATATATAAATTTAATGGCAAATGGGATAAACCCATAAAAACAACGAGCAGCCACATAAATGTTTTAAAACCAAATGGTATGACTCCATATTTGTTATTGATTGTATTTTCATTGTCTTTTCCCTTGTAGGAAACACAGTGAATTCACAAAGCCAGAATTTAAACAGAAAACGTGAAGATTACATAATCATTATACATTGGCAGAAAAAAAAAAGCAAGAGTATTCCTTAAAGCATATAGTGAACAATCTGTTAATTATGCTATTATTTTTTCTTATTTATATTTGTGCTTTACGTCACATAGATGGTGTAATTACAGTCACTATGGCACCACAAAAAATGTGTGTTCTAGAAAAAGATTTTAATGTTGATTTCAATTGCACCATTCAACCACCTAGCGCGGATAATGCTGAACACAAGATGAAATGGTTTTTTCAAAGTGAACTAATTCATTTTGATGACGAAACAGTTCTAGATAGCGGTGTAACAATAAAAAAATACAAAGAACTGAACAATGAACTAAGCATAAGGAATATCGAACGTCGAGACGAAGGCCATTACAAATGCCAAGTTGAAAAGACAGCTGTCGAAGACATTGGTGAGCTGACAGTAGGTAATTGTCTAGACGAAAACCCCTTCGTAAGATGTGACATGACTCTTTCCAACTCAACGTCACGTACAGATCGTAACAACATAACGATGTTTGCCGGACACATTCTTCATGTAAATATATCTTGCAAGGCTTTTATTGGCAACAATGTTTTAGTCAACATTACAATAATAAATGTTGCTAACCATAGCATTGCATCAGCACTTCCTGTCTATTCTCACGTTGAAGAACAGTCCAGTGCTACACGCGGAGTGTATGTCAGTCACGCAGTAGACGTCGCAGGTTTAGATGAACGGCATTTCTGGTGCGTGGCAGATCATCCAAAGATGTCACATCCGGTCAACTGCTCTACTCCTTCATTGATGAAGCCTAAAGTAAAGATTAATGGAAGTGCTGACAACACGCAGTTCGAATGTAAGGTGGAATCTTATCCCCCGTTTACATCATACCAGTGGAAACTTTGCCGTTACTCAGGGAATGAAACGAATGTTCAAAAAGAAGAGTGTGAGAAATTGAACATTACAAGCAGTAATTTAAATTTGACAAACAATGGTGAAATGAAAGACGGGTTTGTATTGATATGCGAGGTTGAAAATGCTGTTGGAACTGGACATAGTAAACTGACAATTATTCCTAATATCGAAGCTAGCATTGAAGCAAAAGATATAAATATTGGACACACAGATGCAACGATCAACCATCGTATTAAAGCAAAAGATATCAATATTGGAAACACAAATGCAGGGTATTCGAATATATTGTACATTGGTCGCTCAACCTTGTTATTCATTGTTATTATTTTGTTATTATGGATATGTAGACGATCAAGATTGACAAAACGTAATAACGCAATCAGCGACTAGTAAACAGAATAACCCCCAAACCAGACGCTTATTATTATTATTATTATTATTATTATTATTATTATTATTATTATTATTATTATTATCATTATCATTATCATTATAATTATTTTTATCATTATTATTATTATTATTATTATTAGTACCGCTTCTCATACGCAATATGTAAAAAATAATAACACAGCAAAACAACTGACGACACGGCTAAGGAATGCGGTTAGGCCTTACGTAATCATCGTTATGTGCACGTTAGACAGCTTTTCTGGTGAAAAACTACGGTAAAGTTAATTTATTTCTCTCAATTAAGCTGAAATATGTAAGTATATTCACTTCGTGTGATGGAGACTTCGATGATCTATGTTGAACTGACGACGCGGCTAGTGAATGCAGTTAGGTTACGTACGTAAACATCGTCATGCGCTCGCTAGACAGCTTCTCGGAATTCAATTGAATGTGGGGAGAAAGCATTGTTTAGTCATTCATCAGATGCTGTAATTATGTAATTGTGATCCGTGAAAACAATTATTTCGACTTGTTTTATAATCGTTCACAATTCACCATGTAAATTTGAAGAAAAAAAAACTGTTATCGCGCAGTAAATTGATACAGTTGTTTGCTTGTTTTGACTTAGTGATAACTGTTTGATAATTATGAAACTTTGTAATTGAATGATAGATAGTATTTTAATAATTATGTACACGCGAAAGTAATTAAAATCATCGTTTTATGTACCTTTGTGGATAGGCCAATATGGATGTCTATTTGTATCTTGTCTTCTGTAGGTGCCATATCTACAAACTTTTTTTTAAATAATCTACTGCATTAAAATTATCAAAAGGTTTTCTTCGCCTTGGACGTTATTAATGTCAAGGGGTGTACTACGTAAATGAGGGACGTGTTGCTCAACATAGGGCCACTTTCTATTTCATAGGAAATATCGCACGTCAAAATATTCAGACCAATGATGATTATGAGGATATTAAAGACAGTAAGTGGCATTACAATCACCACAATTAAATTCATATACTACTACTACGTTGGATTTAAGGTCACTTGGTATTTTATCCTTGTTGTTTAGGTAATTTCCTACTTTTTAAAAATTAAATACAACGTTGATTTCTACATCTTTGCAGCATTTTGTGGCTAATTTACTTATTTTTTTCTTTAGTTATCTTAGATATCGGGCCTATGAAGGGGAGTTTAAAATAAAATGTGTTCTCGGGTGGTTCTTTTGATGTTACCTTTTCTGAAATTCTAGTGTATGCCTACACATTGTTTGATACTCTTATCTATTAATTTCATTGGATAACAGTTCTTTATTAAAATTTTCTTAAGATCCATGGGGGCTACTTACTAGATTAGATTAGATATTTGTCTCAACTCTAAGAAAGTTACAACGTGGCAGATTGTTCCATTAACGTGGCA